TATCACAATTCGCCAATAGAAACGCCATAACAATTAACTCTTCATTTGAAATATTCATTTTTGAAAAACTGATACTCCAGAAAAGAACTAAATGAGATAAAAATAATTACAAAACACTGGATATGTCAAAAAGTACCAATTGTTTGTCCACAGCTTGCTAGGGTAATATTTTAATTTCCCAATACCCTGTACTAGTTTAATCAGGGTATTTATGGTATATGGTAAATATCGCTAAACCCATTGAGAATTTTAATACATTCGTAATAACAAAATATGCTTGCAATTAAATTCTGCATTCAAAAATGAAATAGAATACAGGGTATGGCTATTTAAAAATACTAAGAAAAGCTGATTTTAAAATTTTGAATACCCTGTAGGGACTAATGCAGGACTAATGTTTATCTAATATCGGTTCAGTGGTAAAACGTATTTGGGAATAACTTTTATTTATATTTGTAAGAAATATTTGTCCATTATTATCAGAATATTTATTTAACAATATTAGAACCTTTAACAACACATCTTCATTCATAAATTTAAATAATGTACTTATAATTTGTTTTAATAGATGCGTATTTCTGGCCATTATTGGTAAAATGTGTTTTTATAGTATATTATGCAACAAACGGCATTTGACTCACGAGTGTATTTGACACGAGCGGAGCGAGTGTTTAATAAACGAGTGAGTTCAAAAGTGTTCGGTAAACTTGCATGTGTTGCATACTATACTTTTTCTACGACCGTTAGTTTTCGGGTACATTTTTGGCAAAACGCGAATGCATTTACTGACTATTATCTTTTAAAGTTATCAAAGAAAACAAAAACGCATCGGAAAATAGGAAAGTATAGGCAAATTTAACTTTTTTCTAAACGGAACACCCTGTATATTATGGGGTGAAATAGAAAAGCTTTTTGTCCTGGTTGCAAATATACCTACAGGATTTGAAAAATAACATGAAATGCCCTAAGCTTAATGTGTTACACGAAGACCATATTCTCTCAAAGCCTATTTGGAGTCGGGACATTTCAGGCCAGAATATACAGGGTGTTGCTTTGCAATATTCATTTGTTTTTATTGCAACTTTTGTATTTACATTTTTTATCTATCTTTAATAATGAACTCAGTAGGCGCTGTCTAAATATACATTATAAAGTATTATTCCAATATTCATAAAATAATTACTCACAATACCTGTCTTTATAGAATAAACAATAAATTGTAAAGATGCCTAATTTTATGAAATTATAGTTTGAAGTACAGTATACCAATATATTTAAAGTAATTTAATCGATTGGAGAGAAAATATTTTTAATATTGCTTTAAGATTGAAAAAATAGACATTCGGTCATTAAAATAATCTGACGCTTCTATGGTTGGCCAGTACGTAAATATAATTTTACCAATATTTTTGTGCTACTGGGGAATGAAGTAAATATATATTTAATGGTAAAAATATAAATCTCTTATTTAAAATTAGATTCTAATCAGGCAAGTATATACCTGACATTTTGTCTGGCCCTTTATAATTTTTTTTTAAGAACATCAGTGGCTAATTTTTCTCCGTGGATAGCTACACAAAATATATTTGCTTTTTGTGTCTTTGGGACTGCAAGACTAAAAATGAAAATATTTTGCCAAGTATATTTTTGGAAATGTGCAAGAAGTTACTATCCTTTTTTTTGTTTTTTTTTTTTTTCGAAACACTGGCGTTATTTACAAAATCAGCACTGTTCCTAGTAGGTTTCAATGAAATTCTAGTGAAAATCATCTTTTTCGCCACTTATGGCAAAGAGAAGTTCATCAAACCTGCTGATATTAAACTAAGACATTTATTTTTGGGTTAAATGGTAAGCTCCAATGAGGATTTTCGAGAAAAACAACGAAAAATCAAACTGTATTCTTTCTAGTAGATTTCGATGAAATTCGAGTCAATATCTGCTTTTTCAGAAACTAAAATATCACTTTTTGGGTGGAATAGTAGTTCCAAGGAGATAACAAGAATTGAATGAAAGACCACTCGATTAGATTTTGATTTAATTGCAGTCAAAATCAACGTTTTTAAATTATAAAATAAAATTGTCGCCATTTTAGATTTAGACTTTAGATAAAAATTAAGATTTCTTTCTAGGTTTTTTAGAACAACAAATATTTCTCAAGACTAAGGAAAAACTGCCAAAAGTTGATCCATTTGGCACCCGGTGTGTTTTGCAGTCAACGTAGTGATTATTTCGATATGGATCAACCCAACAAAGCATCTTGAACTACTAGACACATCCACAAATACTTTTGTAAATATTGTTTTCTATATTTTTAGTCTACATTACTATCATTATCATTATTATTAATTATTATTAACATGGTGCTTTCATATCCAACGTGCTCCAAAAATAACGTCTTGAAACGCTCCCGGTACCAGGTGTTTTCGACTGAACCCGGTTAATGAATTTATTAGAGAGGAGGTTATATTAATATATAATCGGATGTAATGCAAATTAGCACATTATTTTCGTTCTGTTGCGATCTCGTTTAGAGACCCTTCGCTCTGTCGATGATATCGCACGGACCGAAATAGCCGTCGGTAGTCATAGTCGTAGAAGAAATCCTGCAGGAAAAGGAAAAAATATAAATTATACCATTCTGAGTTGCAAATATTTGTAGTTAGTCCAAATCCAAAAAATTATTACTTATTGATTTTCAGGATATTTTATTTAAACATTTAAAAATTGTTCTTGAACAGTATTTTAAAACTATTTGACGTGTCACTGGTATACTTGGCGGAACGCAGAGGTACTGTACCATCTACTAGATTTTGTTAAATAAATAATTATGTCTACTACTAGAGGAGTACGAGAAGAGCCTTTGGCTGGTTGGCCCTCCTCAAATTCCACGTGGCTGGCGGATTCTGCAATACTTTGCTTGTAAACACATACTCTTTTTTTGTAACGATAAATTCATTATTTTTGGGATATTTAAAGTTATACGAGGTGTGGTCAAAAAGTAAGGTGATTTTTAAGTTTCATCAAAAAGTTTGTATATATTTATCAAAATTAATGTTGCACCTTTCATAGTAATCCCCCCCAGTTATAATACACTTGTGCTAACGTTTTTTCCAATCTACAAAGCACTTCTGGTGAGCATTTTCTGGTATAACCTTGAGTTCTTCCAGCAATTTATCTTTATCCCTTCAATCGTTCCAAACTTCTCTCGTTTCATGGGTTTCTTGAGTTTTGGGAACAGGAAAAAGTCGCTTATTCGATGAATATTGTGGCTGAGGCATGATTCTGGTTTTGTTTGTTTTGGTTTTGTTTTTGGATGAGTGAGCAATTCTGGAAGTTTTCTCTTTATTGGCCATACGACCTTGTGGTAAGAACTCTCGACAATCTAAGGAAACAGTAAACAAAACCTTGACATTTGATCGAACTTGACGTGCTTTTTTGGTATTGGCGATTCTTCGTCACCATTAATGACCATTATGAGCGTATCATCACTGACTTCGTTTAACAGCTCTCGAGCGATACTCCTTCAACGATCCTTTTGGCAGTTTCGGAACAACTTTTGCTGCTAAACGTTTCAGCCAATAGAGATGCCGACGTCTTCAGCCACTTCTCTGATACTAGTTCGACGATTTTGCAACACCATTTGTTTCACTTCTATAAAACTTTTGTTCCAGTTTGTCTCACAAAAAAAGGATACTTGCAAACTAGCTGAAACTGTGAACATATGTTAAGGACATGCCCAATTACAAAAGTCACCTTGCTTTTTGAACACACCTCTCACATTAAAACTCTTTATCTCAAGTGAGTCCGTTTAGATCTAAATTTTTTGAAGACAGGATTCTACACAACCGATTATGAATGAACCACCCTGTATGTTTGGTTCGGCCTATTATTGTGTATCTCCGCATCACCATCAGATCACCACGATAAAATATATTATTATCAGTTATAGTAAATGCAAAAGATAAAAAAGAGCATTTTGTAAGTAATTTAAAAGTAATGTAGAGGCAAACAGGACGCCACTGCGTAAGTGGTCCGGACGGTAGCGGGCAAATAGTCTTCGTTGTGAGGGACCCCTAGTAAGGGATATCCACTCTAATAAAATTAGGCATCGCAGGCCCCTATGATCGACTTACCGAGTGGCTGTTTTACATAGCGGTGATGAGTACGTGTGTGTGTGTGTGTGTGCTCGACATTTAATCGAGTTACTTCTTCATGCTGATCGGCGAATTTTCTACAAACGATCTCCGCATTCATCAAATTTAAGCATGTTCGGCGGAAAAATCGTTTTGGCAACGTCGCAAATACCTTAAAATGATTTTTTAGGTTTTTCGGCCATATTTGGGAAAAAAATTAAAATACTCCCGAAGTACCCCAAAGTACTAAACTTTCTCACGTAATTCTCGAATCCAAGATCATTTTTTTACTTCAGTGAAATTCAAATGGCCTTTTTGGTAAGTTCGCTATCCTCCAAGAATACAAGTCTGTCTTGTATATTCTTGTAGATTATAAATTAGGAACAATTGGTAGTAAAATTTGCCATGCAAGGCGGGTAAATAAATTTTTTATTTTAATAGAATTAAATTGTACATTGTCGCCCTTAAAAAAAACTTCCTTCTCAAGCCATACAACACTAGAATAACTTTCAGCTGGTCGGTTCCAACCGTTTGAATGGTTTGTCCCTAAATGACGTCTCTTGAGGTGATTTTTGAAGTTCGGAAAGAGAAAAAAGTCACAAGTATTCAAGTCGGGCGAATAAGGAGGCAGTTTCAATAATTAATTCGCAGACCTACGGCTTGTCCTGAAAAAGATCTATTTTTCTGCTTCACTTATCGAGCAATCTAAACTGTGACGCTACCGATGATGATGTCACCCGTCTGCTATTTAACGCCGTTAATTCAATGGAAACTAATTCACTTCTAATTCGACCAATTAGACCGGCGAAGCGCACTGATTGTCCCATGCGCCTTTACAAACAAACTTATTGTAAACTTTTGTTGCAGATCGCGGGCAGCGGTGGCAGGGGCATGTTCTGCTACCATTGCCCGCCTGCCCTGCACCCCGGAGCACCCCAGCCTAGGTTACCGACGCTGGAGTACCCCTTCACGCCATCGCATCCTTGTAAGTATATCTCAAGGTTCATGTTAGGTGGATAGAATATTATAGAAGATACAAAAAAAAACTGTTAAAAATATTAGTTGCTTTAAGCCGGGAAACTAATTTTAGTGCTGCCCCTTAAATCGGAGCTTGCTTAATAATAGCAATAGCAATAATAAGAATATGTTAAATAAAACAATATACTAATTAACTTTATGTTATGTTAATATAATTATATACAGTACAGCCCTGATTATCCGAAATAATGTGGACCAAATTGATTTCGAACTATCAAAATTTTGGTAAACCCGATTTTTTTTTTGGAAAATAGAACTTTATGGTACATATATTTTATCGACTTATGAAATAATCTATAAAATTTTTATTGCTCAATTTTTTTCTGAATATATATGTATCCCATTTCTTAGTTTACTGTCTTAAAAAATAGATAATTTTTACTGTACTTTGCATTTTCTTCTTCTTCTATATAAGTTAACGCTGCCCCAAGGCCCCTAGGCCTTTCCAATGTGACGTTTTTACCGGAATTTTCCGTAACATTTTCACAGATTTTTCCAAGATACTATCTTTCACTTCATTCCAAACTGAAGCTATTGGAATATACGATATTTTTGAAGTATATTTTCTTTAGACATTCAATGAGATCGACTAGTCTGGTCTGGTTGCAAATCATTTTCTCTGCAAATTTTATTGCGGCAGATACATCGGCATACAACATTTCTCCACAAACTTTCAGTTGACGTGCACCATGTCTTTTTTTCCATCTTTCGAGTCATCCATCACTATCATCCTGTTGACTTTTTTAGAGCTTAACAGAAACTGTGCCTGCTTATATATTGATTGAGGGGGGTGGACCTAAACATCGTCTTGGATTATTGATTGCCATATTGGTGAAGTGGTAAATCTGGTATTGACGTTATATTTGTTAAGAACTTTTAATATCTGATTAGTAATGTTTTGAATGTAAGGAAGGACCACTGTGTATAGGTTTTCTGTAAACACAATCACCCAATGTTAGGTATGATTTTCTATTGATAAGAAGACCTGAGTATTGGTTTTAGATGAAAGGTGTCGAGAGCTTTCTTCTCGAAGCCTTCCTAAAATATATTCGCTATCATGGTATTAATGGAGAACCCATGTCAGTTTTCCCTGTAAAGGGTTTTCATATAACAGCTAGATATTTTGATAGAGAATATGTTGGAGAACCAATGGTGCTGACAATGTGAATCTTAGGGAGGCCGTAGAGGCTAGGAATTTTAGAGTCATGAAGGGTGACAGACTTTTTCAAGGAGTCTGGTGGAGAAGAAGCATTAATAACTTTTTTTTTAAATTGATGATATGGTACGTCTGTAAGAATAGCTTGTTCGATTGTTTAACACGTCGTCACACACGCATCGCGCGTTATTGGATAACAGAAACGACCCGAACGTGACGTCACGCGCTAATCAACCGCCCCGCACCACCCCACCGGTAAGGGGATTATCGACGATAATCACAGGTTGTCGAAAATATTCCTTTTTACGAGGTCAAGCTAATACGATAAGTAGATCTCGACATGTGGTGCCGAAATTTGTTATTAGGGGGTGCCTCCCCCCTAGGGAGACCGTGCGGACGGGGTGGAGGCGCAATAAAAACCGTAGCGTCGTCGGTATTTCCCGATCGATGCCGGAGTGATTTTTTTTCGCCGTTAGACTCTTAATCGGTCCGCCCTACCCAAGACGTGAGACAATGGGCACGGCATTCCCGCGGGTTCAAAGGTTACTGTCGCGGTATCGGCGCTCGCGGATTACTGTCATCAGCGCCATTGTTCGCGCTTTGAAAAAAAAAATCAAATCAAAGCCGCGATTTATCGCGATCCGTGCGACAAATTCGAAATGGCGTCGTCAAGGCCTTAATTCCTCCACGAGTGTCAACAGACCTATTAGTTCCATTTTGACCAGATAGTGTTTTATTAAGTGAATACGACGTTAAGGTTTAAATATAATTTTTAAACAATCTATGAAAAAAATTAAAGTCTGTTCATAGATATAAGAAAGTGACCAATTGCTTTTGAATGGGATTATCCAAGGGTGGTCATTAACATACAATGCAACCTAAAGTTTGGGAATTTAAATTCAGGTAAAATTATGGTCCGTAATAGAAAATAATTTTATACCTGCCTGTGTTTAATATTCTTTGGTTTGGTGTACTATTTATATACTATTTCCGATTAAAAAATTTGGAATGCTATCCCTACCCGAACACTTATTTTTTAATTTTTGTAGAACATAAGTTGTATAATTCATGTTATTCTGTTGTTTGTGTTGATTATTGTACCTTTCGTTTTAATTTTAAAGAATTTATTAAAAATATTTGCAATCTCGAGAGCGTCAGTAACAGTGGCGGCGTTTAGTTTCGACTCTATATTTGTTACGTTCATTTTTATGTTCGTCAATTCGTTTACCACTTGCCACGAAATCACAGACCACCGGCACTCGTTCGAGATCGATTACCGATCCCAGAGGCGCGTTTTCCGTCGACATTTCATTCCTAAGCCTCATCAATATACATCAATCGGCGCTGGGCGCAAATTAAACCTTATAACTGCGCGAACGCGACAACGAGAGGAGAAATTCGAATTCCGAACGTAATCCGAATCATCATCGGAGGCCGTGCAATCACGGCCAATTTGACCTGGGTCGCGCGATACGATGATTGTCGATTTCACAAAGAGGGCGAGAACGCTCGGTCCGTCCGTTCCGATTTCGACCGGTGTCGACACGCGTCTGTCCAAATTAACGCGTTCGTTTCGTATTCCGTGCGTTTGTATCGGCCGGTATGAGTTTTAAACGGGACAGGAGGAATTATACTCCGACCAGAAATATAGTGCTTTTACAACTGACCCCGTGATTAACTTTGCCTGCTGTTTATTACTCCAAAACCGCAGCCCCTTATAGAACACCTTGCCGAGCAGACCCTCACCCATAACCGTCCTAGTATATATTATATATAGTATATTTCCAATCTTTATCGCCGGCCAATTCTTGAAACATGTTAATAAAACCATTAGTACAAAATAACAATTTATTACATTCCAATTCATTACATTTCTACGTAGTATCATTATTAATATACAAAATATTAAATATAATACCAATAAAGTATCAGGCACTTTAAAAATCGTCACTATTGCTACTGTCGTCTCCTAGTCCAATAATCAACTCCACCACTAATCGTTCTCGATAAAGATTTTTTTGTTTTGTTACTCGTTTTTCACAGTTGGACCAACTTTGTAGTGACATTTTAGCTACCTCTTGCCGAATTACGTTTGTGGTACTATCATTAACACATTGGTGTGTTAATGCACCACTATGATTTTTTTGTCACATCTAGGATATATTTTTTCACATCCATTTAGAAATTTTATTATTATCACTACTAAAGGACATAAAACCGTAGAAATCGCTAAATTATGTGTAAAGGAAAAATCTTGTATATGACTTCAAAAGTTAACAAAAGCTTTACATAAATTTGTATCACATTTTCAAGTAAATCCAAAAAATATATATTTTGGATTTGTATTGCCATTTTTGTTAAGTCTATAGCATGTAGATTACATCGCAGAAAACATACATTGGAAATACTATATTGATTATGCTTTACTTTTTGAAAATATTTACTGGTGCGTGAATGCACCACTGGTTTTATCTGTGAAACAAAATTTTGTTGTTGCAAGTCTAGACAAGTCAGCGCAATTAGCGTGTTCTTTAGTATTAGTTTGTGCCTTGTCAGTGAACGTTACAGTTACAGTACAGTGGATTTACGTATTCTTATGTATTGTAGCATTCCATTCCTTGTAAATTTATGCTAAAAATAACGTAAAAAAAATTTACAGAACATATTGACGCGGGTATATATTCCACCCGACGTGGATACCTTGACTGACGAAGAAGATATGAACTATAACATAAATCTACAAGAGTTTGGCGAACCAATTGTTACAGTTGGAACTTACGAGTTACATACACCGAATGATACAGCTGTTCTTCAACATTTCTGTAATTAATCAACTACTGAACCTGAATCGGACTCATCAGATGATGAAACCCTGGAATTCAAAAGAAGACGTATGCTTTCTGCAACTGACAGGCTTGCTTCTACTGTCAAGTGGAAGAAAGGTCAGATTGAGTACATTCACACACCTGTAGCCAATTAATTTAGATCATGTGAGGAACTAAAAACTAGGCTTTCTGAAAAACTTCGCTTGAAATATTTTTATGTTTTTTGATGACGAAGTGATTTGATTTTAAAATTTTCGGTAAAATATGCTCAAGACAATAACCGCCATAAATTCTCGTTGTCGGAATTGATATTGTAAAAAAATGTATGAGCAGCAATTGATTCCAATTGATATAGCAAAACTTGCACTTATCTGAATAATCTGCTGGATAAAAATGATAGATCTTCAAAAGTTAGACCCTTCTTTGAAGTAATAAATAAACAAAATCTTCAGTTAGCCATATTTTCGTTCAACTTATCCATAGATGAACAACTGGTACCCTGCTTTGGCCGCCATTCCTGCAAAAAGTTTATAAGGGTTAAGCCAGTTCGTTTTGGCTTCAAGCTTTGGTGCCTTTGTGCTTCTGATGGGTACCTATTTTTTTCACTTCGATATGGTGGTGCTCAAAGTAAACCTCATTCTGACCTTGGTCTTGACGGTGACAGTGTCATGAGTCTACTTTCTGTTGTTGTTTTTTTGGCAATTTTCTTTCATCATTCAAACTATTTGTATATTTAATAACTAATGGTTATTTTGCCACCGGTACTTGGAAAAAAAGACCGCGGATCCTATCTTTTAGCATATGAATCCGAATCAAAAATTTCTGTTGTCCGTTAGCACGACAATTCAGTTGTAACTGCGGCCAGTAATGTTTCTAGTGTAGATCCTGTCCAAAATGTAAAACGCTATAATAGAAAATAACGGAAAGATGTAGATATACTCCAACCTTATGTAATTGCCCAATACA